ATGGCAAGCACTTGGCTCCTCATCAGGATAAGCCCAAGGCACAACCCTATGGCCGACTCCCACAATCATCTCTCGGCCATAGGGGAAGCCCTAGTCAACTTTCTTCGCAGTTCTAGGTATTCGACTCCTCAGTCGAATTCCAAGCCCTTAGCTCCTCATCAGGATAAGCCCAAGGCACAACCCTTTGGCCGACTCCCACAGTCGTCTCTCGGCCATAGTGGAAAACCTAGTAGACTCTCAAGAGCCTAGGTGGTTCGACTCCTTAGTCGGATTTTAAAGCCCTTGGCTCCTTATCAGGGTAAGCCCAAGGCATAACATATGGTTCGATTCCTCCGACTCTCTTCGACCATCATGGCAAGCCCTTGACTCCTTTTTAGGATAAGCCCAAGGTACAACTCTTCGGTCGACTCCCACATTCACCTTTCGACCTTAGAGGATTGAAAAAACTTAGTCGACTCTCAAGAGCCTAAGTGGTTCGACTCCTTAGTCGTATTTCAAAGCCCTTGGCTCCTTATCAGGGTAAGCCCAAGGCACAACATATGGTTCGATTCCTCCGACTCTCTCGACCATCATGACAAGCCTTTGGCTCCTTTTTAGGATAAGCCCAAGGCATAACTCTTTGGCTGACTCTCACATTCACCTTTTGACCTTAGAGGATTGGAAAAACCTAGTCGACTCTCAAGAGCCTAGGTGGTTCGACTCCTCAGTCGGATTTTAAGCTCTTAGCTCCTCATCAGGATAAGCCTAATGCATAACCCTATGGCCGACTCCCACAGTCATCTCTCGATCATAGGGGAAGCCCTAGTCAACTTTCTTCGTAGTTCTAGGCATTCGACTCCTAAGTCGGATTTCAAGCCCTTGGCTCCTCATCAGGATAAGCATAAGGCACAACCCTATGGCTGACTCCCACAGTTGTCTCTCGACCATAGGGGAAGTCCTAGTCAACTTTCTTCATAGTTCTAGGTATTCGACTCCTCAGTCAAATTTCAAAGCCCTTGGCTCCTTTTTAGGATAAGCCCAAAGCACAACTCTATGGCCGAATCTCACAGTCGCCTCTAGGCCATAGGAGGATTATGAAGACTTAGGTCTAGCATGAAGCTTAGCCTCAGAGTTATCATCCTGTCATTAAGACCTTGGTATTATCATGAGTAAACCTAAGGCATAAAGTTCAATTATCTGATCATCTTCGACAAAAAGACTCAAAGCACATCGACTTGCCAGTCTTCATCGACCAAGGCCAGATCATCTTGCCCACAGTAGGCGCAATATGAGCTAGTTATCAAGTCGACTCATAACATTCGGGTCGACACAACACAACCAACTCAAGAATTACCACTTAGTTTGCTCATTCAGAGCAATGCTACAAAGCAATCAGCAGCCCTAACTTTTAGTCCAGAGCTTTATTCATTTCAATTGGACTCGACTAAAGTTGACTCCAAGCAAAAGGGACCAACTGTTATGGGGTACAATTGTTTCTAAATGTATGATCTGATTAGTTTACACCTTTACCCACCATGTGGACCGGCTCGGAAGATATTGTTGGACGACTCAAGGCATCTCAACCCCTCAGCCGAGCCGACGTGATCTGCCGACTCGGAAGGCAATGTTAGTCGGTACGAAAATTAACATTCCAGAGATTCAACACTCATCGGAGTCGACCAAAGGACAATTGAGCCGTCACTCCCCCAGTCGAGTCGACATCATTCCTCAAAGGCGACTTGAGAGGCGGACTCAGTCGATCCTCTCCATATCAAAAGATCGCTACTCAGTGTTAGCTAGCACTCCTTCCAAGAACAACCCAGAATACTACTTCTCAATATTATTTAACCTTTTATGATCATCATTATATCCCCGTCCTTAGCCGTCTAAAGACTCGTCGGCTGCTGACTCCTAATGTCGCTAAAGTGACTGTAGATGGTAAAAATTACCTTGGAAGATGAAGCACGAGATTCACCTGCTATTTCAAGCCGCCCGCACAGCTTAGAAATTAAGCTCGCCCAAGGGCTTAGCTCGCTAACACGAGCCAAAGCCATGCTATCACCAAATTCGTCCACATTGGGTGACTATAGACTCGCCTGCTGACTAGACTCGCCTTTTGACTTGACTCGCCTGCACGAGTCAAAAATCAAATTCGCCTACAAACAGTAAACTCGCCAAACTCGCCAGAGTACTTGGCAGCCGCTATACCACGTACAGGGATATGCCTTCCTTTTTCCCGCGACGTGAAGGGAAGGAGCACAGTACTCCGAGCCCATCAAGTAACCACTCACAATACGAGTGATGGGTCAAATCCATGTAGTCACCAAGTCCGCCTGCATGAAACTCGCCTCGCCTGCACGAGTCAAGAGCTGAAATCGCCTACAAACGACAAGCTCACCAAACTCACCAGAGTACTTGGCAGCCGCTATACCACGTACAAGGATGGGCCTTCTCTTTTCTCGCAACGTGAAGCCAGAGTACTTGGCAGCCGCTATACCACGTACAAGGATGGGCCTTCTCTTTTCTCGCAACGTGAAGGGAATAAGCACAGTACTCCGAGCCCATCAAGTAGCCGTTCACAGTATGAGTGATGGATCAAATCCATGCAGTCGCCAAGTCCGCCTGCATAAAACTCGCCTCGCCTGCACGAGTCAAGAGCTGAACTCCCCTACAAATGGTAAGCTCACCAAACTCGTCAGAGTACTTGGCAACCGCTATATCACGTACAGGGATGGACCTTCCCACTCCCCGCGACGTGAAGGGAATGAGTAAGGTGCTTCGAGTCTCTCAAATGGCCGCTCATGGTACAAGTGAGGAGCATGATATCTCCCAACAATACATGGTCATATCCCATGATTCAAGGAGTGACCACGCCGTCTCTCCTCTATTTAAGAACCTCTTCTGGCTTCAGAAAAGAGGGTTCGCTCATAGGGTTTAACAGTTCGGTTAGCTCATAGTTAATTGATTAAATCAGTTAGCTGAATCACAGCTCTCAACTCTCGACGGAGTTGACGACAGGCTCTTTGCATGACCTTTACACTGTAGCATTCTCTCCTAGCTTCGGGTCATGATCGCCATTGAACTCGGAAACTTGAACTCGGCTAGCACGAGCTTCTACTGCGTACTAAAGCTCACCAGCAACCTAGGTCGAATCATCCAAGGGAAGCAGACTCGGTGCGAGAACCGAGCGAGGCGTCCTATAGCTACCAAAGTCCCCACGTTAAATAAGGAGGGCATTCCCTCAGCTTCTGTTGTAATTTTAATTTATTAGTTTGTAATAAGTCATTCTTATCAATACAAATGAAATCTCTATTTCGGAAGATCAAAATTTATACCTATAGTGACCTCCCGTCACTCACAAGCCGACAATACTCGTCGGCTGCTGACTTACAATATCATTAAAGTTACCTCCTGTCACTCATAAACTGACACGTATAAAACAAAGGGTGACTCAACCTCCATCTCACCCCTCACCACCGCCTTACAATATACTCATAAAGTGACCAATCACTACAACAAATTGCACTTTTCTCAATGCTGATTCCCGACGCATGGTTAAAAACGTCGGCAAAAATTATGTTTTTCCCGACGCTTTTAATTAGCGTCGGCAAAAAATATATTTTTCCCGACGTTTATAATTAGCGTCGCTAAAAGTGTATATTATTAGCGACGTTTTAACTTAGCGTCGGTAAAAGTTATGGATTTCCCGACGTTTTTTTATTTTCGTAGGCAAAAGTATAGTTTTTTAGCGACGTTGTAGGATTAGCGTCTCTAATAATATGTATTTATCGTGACGTATTAGGCTAACGTCGCTAAAAGTGGTTTTTTCCCGACGTATCTGCTTGGCGTCGCTAAAAATGTATTTTTTACGACGCTTCTTCACTTGTCCGCGTCGCCAAAACCCACCGCCCCGCCCCGGAATTTTCCAACTCGTATAAGGAGGGAAAATTCCCCCCTTTTATTTTCACGAAGAACCAAAACCCCCAACCCCGCTCTCTCTCTCGTCAGAAAATCACCCCCAAACCCTTCTTCTCCGAAGTTCGCCGCCTTCGTCGAAGCTTACCGCCGCCGTCGTCGGAGATCTCCGCCTCCGTCGAATTTCACTGCCGCCTCCGTCAGATCAGCAGCATTAGCTTCAAGAATCCCCGCCGTCTTCTCCTCCTCCCTCCGATCAACCCCCCACCGATCTCACCTCCGACTCCCTTCAAGAACCCCCCCCCCCCGTCCGATCTCGCTCCGAACCCGAACGCTAACCCTAGCCTCCGCCGCAGGCTCCGATCAAGCTCCGATGGTATTTATACTATTCTCTTTTTAATTCGTTAAATTGGAGGCGTTCTGTAAATAAATTAATGTTTTTAATATATCACAGGGCTCGCAATCTCAATCGTTCTTTAGATCGGCGCTCTCGAGCATGGAGAAAGTTTACTTGACTAGGAATCCGACTGCAAAATCTGTCCTTGAATCTGTGAGCTCGTCTGATGGCAGTCCTGTGTGTTACGATCACTTCGCTTTCCGAACATTTGGGGTAAATGATGCAATTTTGTTTTTTTCCCCGCTTGATTCTATTACTGTTATACTATGTATTTTTTTTCTAAATTTTGAAGGTAGATGGCCATGGGATTGATTCCATTGCGTCATTCTTCTTGGATTTTGGTTATACTCAACGAGATGAACTGAGGTTTTTCCAGCGAAAAAAGCTGAGAGCTTTGTGGTTTGCTGCTCCTGAGACTGAGTACAGTAACAAATGTAGCTTGCCTTTGCCTAGGATTTTTATATCGGAGCTTCTTGTGGATGAGTTGAATTCTCAAAGTCAGGTACTTACTCTCAACAAGTGCAGATTGTTTGCAATTTCAGTTTCTAATTTCCTATTTTTCTGTTCAATAATGGCAATTACTTATGCATGCAGGAAATAATTAGAAAATATGTTAAGATTTCTGGAATATTAGGTGTGTGTTTTTATATAAACTTATAATAAACAAGTACAATTCATTCTACACTTTTTCCATAATAGGCTAGCATCTGTATCGCCTTGCTCACGCTGTTTCAAACTATAACAAAGTTCTAATGGAGAACAGAAAGCTGTACAATCAAGTGCAAGATCTTAAAGGTGAACTTCCCAACATTTAAATGATAAGGCGTTAGGTTATTTACCCATTTTTAGTACTAACTTCTTTTTGAAATCATTAGGAAGTATTAGGGTATACTGTCGAGTTAGACCCTTTCTACAGGGGCAATTGAGTAGTAACACTGTCAGTTGTATTGAAGATGGAAGTAATACAATTATCAACCCTTCAAAATATGGCAAAGAAGGGCACAGGTCTTTTAACTTCAATAAAGTGTTTGGTCCATCTGCATCCCAAGGTAAAAGATGCCTACTACTATTTCAACTTCAGTTCTTCTGAGGATAATAAGTTGTTAATTAATGCCATCACAACTTGTTTATACTGCAGAGGAGGTTTTCTTGGACACCCAACCTTTAATTCGCTCAGTTCTTGATGGTTCCAACGTATGCATATTTGCTTACAGACAAACTGGATCAGGAAAAACCTATACTATGGTAGGAAAAACGTGTAATTTTATTTTAAGAATGTCATGTTTGCAACATAAATAAACGTGTAATTTTCTTGGACAGTTGCTGGAATGTTTTTGAAGTATCTGTGCATCAGAGCACATACATATTGATATTTGTTTATTTATTTGGTTTTGGGACTATTGCTTTATTTATGTTCTTGTATTCCTGGACCTTCCTTCATGTTTGAGGGTGAATGATTTTTGCCACCCTAAAGTATAGTAATTTGTTTCCCAATGTCCATCATCAAGTTGTTATTCTGATAAAGAAAATCCATTTTTGTCTATTTAGAGAGCTGTGCAAGGATCTCTTTAAGAAATGGTCGTCCCTTGACAGTTCTTGCTTCTCCCTTGAGACTGTCTCTGGTGGTATTACCAATCAATGTAAGCTTTTTTATTCCATATATTACTATTTCTTTTCGACAGTTCGACCTTTTTGATGATAATATCATTCATGTACTCTAAAATTTTATGTTACATCAAGCAAAAATTTTATTGACCTCTTATTTTGGATTATAATTTTTCAAATTTTGTTTGAATGTTTTGACCATATCTCTGTGCTTTCTAATGTTTCCACAGTGGCTTTCTGGATCTCTAATTGCATTTTCCTTTGGTTCACATGTTGCATGCACATATCTGTGGTGCAAAATATTTTATTGAATCACTCACTTTAATGATAGCTCATTGTTAATTCTTGCAGTGTTGAAGGTCTTTGTGACAGAAGCCAATGACCATGATGTGGTTTTGACTTGGTGATTGATCGTGAGCGAGAGCTGCAGGTGGGTCCTTGCAATTTATTTCTTCAAAAGTTTGATGTGAGAAATCTACAAATTTCATACTAAGACTTTTTTACTTGTGTATTGTTGATTCTGTTGCAGTATATGTGACTGTTCTTGTGAACTATGATCATTTTTTATGATACATGCTTATTTTTTCTGTTTATTTTTCCTAAACAATAATTTATTAATCATCTATTTTCTTCCTATAAGTAAAATTGTATTGGAGTGATATGAGAAAAAGACATGTAGGAAGTAATATTCTGTTTTATATTTTATCTGCTATTTTCATATGAGAAAAAGACCCTGTGAATCTCAAGATTTTACCGCTTTGACTGACATCACTACAACAAATTACACTTTTCCCAACGCTTATTCCCGACGCATGGTTAAATACGTCGCATATTTGAAAATAGCCTGAATGATAATCCTGATCATCAGTTAACTTGATTGGATTTTGATGTGTAATTGTATGCACTTTTTATTTGGTGATATAACTCTAAATGAAGTCTGGAGCATTGATTGTATTGCAAAAACCCTTGATGTGAAATACTCAAGTTTGTCGGGTCTTAGACACAGAGTCAGCGGAAGAGTATCACTCTGCTTGTGAGCACTCTATACGTGCACTTTTTCTAGCTGGCAAATGCATTTCATCTGATAATAGTCTGGTATGGGAATTTTGTGAGAAGACCTTGATAGAGTGCTTGCGGTCCTATTAAAAGGTAATGAAGAGGTACCTAATTGTTGCATGCCAAACAGAAAACTTCTCCCCTCTTTATTTTGCAGACAAGGTGATAATTAGTGAAATTGCTATTACGTCTGATAATTACTGAATGTTGAACTAGATTGTTGCTCTTGTTTTTCTACTAAGTATATGATGTTATGATGAGTTTATACTTGCTAGTTTAAAACAATGATAATGATATCTGAAAAGACTAGGAAAAGTGGAAGAAGGCACCAAAATCAGTTATTGAGCTACAGTCTACAAGGATTATGTCATGATCCTTGTGGCACTGCGATTATTTTTTACTAGTTTTGGTCTATACATCTTCTGAAGGTCCACCTTGTTATCACTAGAATTTTTGAATCATAATTTTTTTTACCTTTGCGATTAGTGGTGGAATTGTTCATTTAAAATCATCTATATTCAAGTGTTTTTCTGATTTATGATATCAACGTAGATACCAGTTTTTTGTGATTTATTTATAGAACATGGTATATCATTCAAAAAGTTGGAGTGTAAATCTCCTTTTTGTTGTGTATATTTTTACTCTTGTTTAACTTTGCTACCTGATTTAGCATTAAGTTTATGTTAGTAAATATGATTGAGTTTTGAAAATTGAAACTATTTGAATTGAAATGTAGGTGATTGTTGTAGTTTACCTTTTTGTTGTGTATAAATGTAGGTGATTGAGCTTTGATATATTTTTCTACTGGTTCTGTTTAGTTGGTGCATGCTCCATCCTCTGTTGGTTCTGTTTAGTCAAATATTGGTATTGGAGGATTGTACATGATGTGTCTACTTGTTTCTTTTATGAAGTTTAGTGTAGGCAATTGAGAGATTCAGTTTTTTGTGCTGATTTTGGATCCCAAACTAATCCACATTTTAAACTTTTAGAATTTATGTTATTGCAAAATTTCAAACTTCCTGCTTGTTAGTAATGACAATTTCAAACTTTTAGAATTTCAAACTTCCTTCCCAAGAGGCTCCTTCATTTTTTGTTTGTTTGAAGAACTATGTATAAAAAAATCCTTTATTTAATTTCCTGAAGAGAATTGCGTTCTAATAGCTTCCTTTTACCTTTTCTAGTTGAGCCAATCCATGAGTACCATAGCAGTAGCATTTGACACAGGGAGATCAACCCTGAATTCAAGCGCACCCCTTTTTTCAACCCAGCAGCATATCGACAGGTAGAGGACTTTTCACTTGAATGGTGGGAGGTTGTGAAGACGGCTTCATGGCAAATATTAGTGTCCAAAAAAACCTATCACTTGTGACTCAGATGAGAACTGTAGTATTTAGCTACAAATTAACTAAAGGAAAATATGTCGATTGCAAGAGGTGTGAGAATACTGGATATCAAATTGTAGAGAAACTAAGGTATATGTATTTTAGGTACTCAAACTGCAATTGAACTTTCACAATAGACCAATGATTGGCCAATGTACCTACATCATTGTATACTTAGATCTGCAACTAATTTTTATTACCAACTGGCCATCATATAATTAGAAATCCTAAAATGGTGTATTTGAAATCGTGTCTATAGGATTTACAGGTATTTGCATCAAAGATCTTTTGTGAAATTTTTACACTCGCATTCACGGCTATTTTTTGATGCTGCTTTATTCTTGTTATGCAGGAAAATGGATTTGATTATCTTGGAAGCAGAGAGAAACTTGTCATGAGGTTACAAGCAAACTGGAATATTTAAACAGTTGTTTTCTTCTTTTTTTTCACAAATTTCTGTCTCTCTTCATTCGTGCTTTCTTTGACGGCTGCATGATTACAAGCAAACTGGACATATTAAAATAGACCTTTAGTGTTGCTTGAATAGAAATGATGTATCTATTTGCAATGAGAGAAATCTTCTATTATCTAATTGGCCAACGTTGTTGAGTAAATTGATGTCTAGTTTTCTTTGCTTGATGCGTAAATGAGAGGTAAATTTTTGTGTGATGTTGCAGGTTCAGGGTGATAGGTGGCTAAAAGCGGCACTAAAATTTATACTTTTGTCACGCTATCATTCGTGCGCCAAAAAAAAATCTTTAGCGACGTTATTTGTGTTGCAACACAGATATATGTTTGTAGCGACTGGTTCATTTGCGTCGCTAAAAGGTATATTTTTAGCGACGAACGTTTTGTTCGTTAAAACATACTTTTGCGCGCGCAATTAGCTTTTTCCGCACGCTGCATGCGCGCCAAAAGTACAACTTTACCCGACGCCAGCTTTTGCATATGAAAAAATTTATCATACTTTGCGAACCAAAAGCTATGGCGTCGCTAAAAGATGACTTCCCCCGCCATGAAGCTCGGCCAAAAGTGTTGACTTTTACGCAGACGCAGGTTTTTGGCGTCGCAAATATTTTGATTGACGCACTTTGGTGACGCGTTAGGACCTGGCATTTTGCGTCGGGAAATATTTCGCTCTGACTTTAAACTTTGGCGACGTTTTTGTTATCGCGCAGAGTTTGTTGTACTGAACTCTGCTAGCTGGCATCCCTATAAATCAGAATTATCGCGCTCATATATAAAGAAAGGGGTTGTGCAGGTTAGGCATCAACACTTTACCTAATTCTAAATCTGAGAGATGGCATATCTCTCAAAGCACATAGGCATAGAACACTATTCTATACTTCCACTCACGCTCAGTTCATCACTACTGATCCGTGGAGGTACCACGGGAGAATTCATCACCCCCTCCTTCTCACACGACTGTCTCTAGTGCAGATTGGGGGGAAACTCAGAGCTGCCTAACTCAGTGGGGCTAGCCATAAAGTCGGAAGGAAGAGATCCCCTTTATTCAGGTCATCCTTCACATCCGCAAGCATCCTCATCTGGATACTATTTGTTTTATATCGAACTATTCAGAGATGTCTGTGGGATGTGTCTTTGAATTCTTTGATATAAACTTTATGATAATTAAATAGAATAAGATACATGTTTAATCATGATAGGATATGATCTCATCAGAAAAAATTATTTTATTAGTAATTAGAAAGTTAGACTAGAAATGGATTGAGTCTTATAGTGATAGGTATTTATTAATTGAAAAAAAGAAGAAGAAGCGGTCGCTTGTTTTGTAATCCTAGGGGGCAGTATAAGGCTAAGCCGATTCAAGAGAGGTAGCGAGAAGGCGAAGTTTTTAGCAATATTTGTCCATGGCAAAATTGCAAAGTTAGGAGAGAGTTTTGCAGTCTTTATTTGTCTAAAAGATTGAACGAGAAAGCCTTGAAGAATTGAGATGATGTTGATAGTATGTGAGGTAAAAGCTAGAAGAGAGAGAGAGAGAGAGAAAGAGAAATGTTTTTTCTTGTAGGCTTTGGACTTGAGGGAATAGGTGCTACGGGAAGTTAGGAACAATTGCATCTTGTTGGAGAATATTAGGCAGGTAAAAATATTGCACTCCTAGTATCCGCGCTGTCAGCTCGTAATAGTATAAATTTGTACGCAGGCCCAAATTATGTGTATACCAAGGGAAGCGAACTCCTTACTCCGTTCCCTTCCATCTCCTCACAGATGGTAGTTACCCTTGAACACCCTTAACCCCATTGAATCTCAAACGCCGCCGAGTTTCCTTGATAC